CGGAGCTTTGAAAAAATAACTTTTTTTGAACGACAGCTCTCAGAGTCTTCTTGCCAGCCTGGCTAATGATCATGCTGGTTAGGGCTTCTGGCAGTTGTGGTCTAAAATAGTAACTTTTTGAAGTTCTGCAACTATCTGTGAAGTGTACCAGTTATTCCGTGAGCCACTTCCTGCAGTTTATAATCTTGCAGAAGTTTCTTTTATTTTAAATGGCTTGGTTTCGGTAACTGTGGGTCCAAACCTGCATGAAGCCAGTCCCTTCAGCCACTTGACAGGGCTGTCTTGCAACGATTGCATAGCACAGCTCCCATGTGAGAGCTTTAAGGAAAAGGTTTTTGGGGCGGAGGAGGGGACAAACGTGATTAATAATAGGGCAAAGGCTTCTTTGCAGCATTGTGAGCACCAGGGGACTTACTGAGGCCATTTGGGAAGGTGCTGAAAACTTGAATTCTCTGCATTTTATTGCAGAGTCATGTCAGATCTTTTCCGGCTCTTTAATCGTTATAGGGGAATTTTAAGGGTTAAGTAGTAGTTTCTTTATAGCACACACTGTACAACAGCAGCCTCTGTATCTAATCGGCCAGTGGTGCTTTGGAAGGGGTGCAAGGGGTTAAGCAGACAAAGAAGCCATTAATTGCTCCCAGACTCCAGAATTTACAGAGGAAAACCTCCCAGCTCTGCTGCAGCTGGCGTGACTTAGAAGGAAAGGGCACACAAGCATTGTTCATCCTGGAGAGGTGAGATGGAAGTAAACTGAGAGCGGGTTTCATGTTGAATCGGCGCTAGCCAAAATGGAGGTCTACGCCTATGTCTGGGGGTTCAGGGATAGTGCACTGAATTGGTTGCCACCTCATTTTATTTTCCTTTTCTTCTGTTCTGGTGCCTGTAACACACCAGTAGCCTGACCTACAAAAATGTAGCTAGTGAAGCCGGCAGGACAATAAAGTGATTTTTCCATGGGGTGCAAATTACCCTTGCAGATTTTGCAGTGGAAGTTGGCCCAAGACTTTTTGCCATGCCTGACTGCATTGCTGCTCTAGTTCAGCATTGTATACCACGTGTGTACTGTGTACCCACAACAATGGGAGGCACCCTTTCAAGCGCCCCTAAAAATATTGCAGGCACATTGCAGTCTCTGTGCGACTGGGCTGGCCTCTTGGAAGCCACAGCAGCCTCTCCTGTAGACAAATCAGTCTTTGTAGGACAGATCTCGGCAGGTTGTCCCCAGATTCTGTTCTTTCTGCGGTGGCTGTTAAGGTCAAGAACCTTCTCCACCCCCCCCACACACACACACCATACAACTTCAATGCTTCACCCCGTCTTCTCTGATGTCACGGTTGGTTGGCACAAGTCTGTGCCCGGTTGCGACTCTGACGTCAAGTGTGGGCAACTTGGGAGTTGACTTTCTCCCTCTTCCCCCAACAGCCGTCAGAGCCACAGTAGGCTCAAAAATAGGTAAACAGTCACTCCTGCCAATCATATGTTTTTGGGAAAAAAACACGGCCACACTGCTCTGTTTAATTCCATGCATGGTGAGGAGGGCCTGTGGTATTCTTGATGGCCTTGAGGGCTTGCCTTTTGCCCACCTCTGCTGTGCGCCATGATTCCTTTGGTGCCCTCGATGTCACCGAGACAAGTATCATTTGCTGGTCTCCAGAGATTCACGTTCTTGTAGGGAATAATCTTCCTCTTCTGCATCTTAATGTTGGTTGAGCTTAAGGGCTTGCCCAGCCAGAGAAAATCCACTTCCGTGAACTCTTTTCCTAGTTAACCGATGGGATGTTTGGAGCAGCTTCCTTTTCCCAAGGAAGCCATCTGTGGCCTTTCGCAGGGACCACAAGCCTTTTGTTGCTTTCTGGACCTCAAACAAATCGGTATGCGAGGGTCTGGCTCACTATCAAGGGTTGATTTGGAGGCCTTAAGTCATGTGACCTCCGTGTCTGTTTCTCCCACCACCACCATCACCAGTGTTGTTTCCCTGAATAATTTTCAGAGTTCAATGGGAACTGGTATCTCTTCCATCAGGTGATTTCACCTCAGGACCAAGGCTATGCGCTGGCTCTTTTCCCAGTTTACTGATGTATACGCCTGGAATAGATCAGTAACTGGAGGGAAAAAAAAATCTTTGGAGGCTTGCTGCTAACTAATGGGTGGACTTGCAGAAAATGTGTAGCTCTGTCTCTCGCTCAGAATGATCTGTTTTTCCTCACCTGCACAGGGATTGAATCAAATTGCTAGTTCCAACTCGTGTGGACTCACTGAATTAATTGCTCCAATATCAAATCATATCAGTTCAGTAGATCTGCTGTAGTTGGGACTAGATATTGGGATTTAGGCCCTTAATATCCCTTTCTTTCCCCTTCGCTTGGGTTCTCCATCAAGCTGCCAGCTGTATCTTCAAAACTTACTAATGTTTGGCCCAAATCATTTGGGTTTTCTGCTTTATCTCATTACCCACCTGTTTGTGAACCCAGGACGGTGCATTCCAGCAAGGATCGTCTTTTTAAGTATATGCACCATTTTTATCCTAAAACCCATGAACTTCTGCTTCAGTTTATATGGGTCACTATGTCCTGGTTGTCTGCTACTAGTTAAGCAGTAGGCAGGGCATAGGCCACTGCTCTAGAAGCTCAAGGGGGAATGGTTTTCCAAAATACTAGCCAAATGGTTAACATAAGCAGATGGATAGAGGTTGTGTTTTTTTTAATATTGTTTTCTGTGAGACTGCTAATCTTGACTATCCTAAGGAAAGGAACGTGATTGTTAGTCTCACTGCATTGTCTGTCTGAGAGGTTGGAAAAGCTTGGTCATCCCCTCCTCCCCTGTTCTTTTTAAAATTGTAGAGTTACAACTCAAGTTAAACTCTAACAAAGCAACATAGCTCAGAGATTGTTCCCTAGGCAAACAGGGCCTGTTTCCCCTGCCAGTGAAATTTGAGAAGGGAAGGGGAAGGGGGGTCAGGCCTCTGTTTTTGAAATCCGGTGAGTCAATAGACTCTCTCAAGCAAAATGATGGCATCAGCGTGTGTATTAGTTAATCAGACCTGATGGCCTGAAGGCAGAGGGGTCGGAAGGCCGCTGTCTTGTGATAGATTGTTAGGGAGCTGAATACCAACTCCAGGAGCCAAATTGCCCTGCCAGGATCCTAACTCTTTGGACTCCTCCCCAAACCAGGAATGCTGGGCTGACCTTGCGCAGCCATAGTGGGAAAGCCAAGTCCAGCTTGAGCTGAAAAGACCAGTCCTCACACGTTGCAACAGGCAAAGCCATTGTTGTCTTTCCTTTTTCTGTTTGCTGATGTATTTAAGCATGATATTTCTAAGTAGCTCAGCCCCTGCTTGGCTAGAAAAAAGATAAGCAGGGGTGGAGGGAGAGTTGGAAGGGAAAGGACTCCACCTCTTGACAATTCTGGTTCCTTGGAGGCAATTGTTTGAGAGCATAACAAGCTAGTGTGCAAATATTCCAGAATTTTTGTTTGCGTAGTTTCTCAGGCTTCTATGATCTCTTCGGCTCTCTTTCTGTACTTCATTTTAAAACAAAACAGTTGTCATGACAGTGGCACAAACCCCCCTGGATTGGGTCTCCCTTCAGACATTATCTGGTGCCAGAGAACCAGAATCCCCAAAGTACTCGAATTCTTGTACAGTGGTGCCTCGCTTAGCGACGTTAATCTGTTCCAGAAAAAAGCGTTGCTAAGCGAAAATATCGCTAAGCGAAATTAAAAAGCCCATAGAAAAGCATTAAAACACGATTAATGCGATCCTATGGGCTTAAAACTCACCTTTAAGCGAAAATCCTCCATAGAGCCGCCATTTTCACTGCCTCTTAAGCGAGGAAAAACAGCGGGCGGCCATTTTGTTTTCCCGGTGGCCATTTTGAACCCGCCGATCAGCTGTTAAAAAAGGGTCGCTTTGCCATGATCCCTTCCCCGCGATCATCGCAAAGCAAAAAAAAAAACATAGGGACCATCGCAAAGCGATCACTTTTGCAATCGCAAAAACTCCATCACTAAGTGATTTCATCGCTCAACGGAGCGATCGTTATGCGAGGCACCACTGTACTTCCCATGGCCCTATAACTGGCTGACCCTCAACCCTTTGCTTGTCTGTCTGTAAGGTGCCCAGCCCTATAGAAGAGTATGGGGCGAGAATAAGTGTGCAAAGGGTTAAGGAGTACAGTTAGCAGGTAGTGGCAAGGCCCTGGATTGGTCAGGCCTAGGCCAAAAGGCCAGGAGCACAACTTTCTGTGTTTGCTTTGTCAACAGAGCAAGATCTTCTGAAGGAAAGTGCCACATTCATGGCATGGGATTGTGGCACCTCAGAAGCTGTGGGGTTCCGACACTTAGGGTTATCTAGAAGCAATTTTCCTCTTGTGGGATGGGAAGTCCTTAAACAGGCAATAGGATAAATTATCCATCTGATTGGGAAGCAGGAGATGGTGAGTGTGTGACACAAGTGTGGTAAAGCTCTGTGATGTCAGCAGAGAGTTGAAAAAAAGAAGAAAGTGATTGATTGAATGGATGCAGGGAGGGAGGAAGACTTCCCATTTATTTGGCATCCATGCTTAGAACCTCCCCACCACCATCACCACCATGGTTTTATAGAAAAAAGCCTGCTATTTTACAAGAGATTCAAGAGAGGCAGCTTCGGGCAGGGGGAGGCTTTTATGGCTGAGGATTCTTGTACTGAGCAATTTTGCGGCAGTGCTAGGCATGGCGGCTTCTTCATTTTCAGCCTTTCCAGAGACACTGTGAAATACAGAGGAGAAAGGGAAGAGCCTGGCTCTTGCCTTTTAAGTCAAGTATTCCACTGATGTTAAATGGAAGTCCAGATTAACTGGTTTGTGAATCAAACAAAACAAGTGAATTTTGGATAAAATAATGTTTTGAGTAAGAGAAGTACCTGCTCTTACTCAATATTGCAGTACTAATGTCGGTTGGAGAAATGCCTTGGTTTCTATCTCTTTACAACTATCTGCCATTTTGTTTTCTTCTTTTCTTAGATGCCAGTATGTCACCTGATGCTATAAAACAAAGCCACTGGTGCAACGTTGCCTACTGGGAACATCGGACTCGTGTTGGACGCCTCTACACAGTGTATGAACAGTCTGTCAGTATATTTTACGACCTACCTCAAGGAAACGGCTTCTGCCTTGGACAGCTAAACCTAGAAAACAGGAATGAGACTGTCCGCCGGACTCGAAGTAAGATTGGATACGGGATTTTGCTCAGCAAAGAACCGGATGGCGTTTGGGCTTACAACCGCAGTGAACACCCAATATTTGTTAACTCACCGACACAGGACATTCCCAATTGTCGGACTTTAATTGTGCGCAAAGTGATGCCTGGCTATTCAATAAAGGTCTTTGATTATGAGAAATCTTGCCTCTTAAAGCACACCACTGACTTGGAATATCCAGATGGACCTTATGACCCAAACAGTGTCCGGATTAGTTTCGCAAAAGGCTGGGGCCCTGGCTACTCCAGACAGTTTATCACCTCTTGCCCATGCTGGCTAGAAATTTTGCTCAACAACAACAACAACAGATAGCTGTCAGCCTTGGAGGAGAGCCAGATGGAACACAGACAATCCCAAGATATCATCTACCTAGATTTAATATAAAGTTTTATATATTATATGAAAATATATATTATACTTGTAATTATGGAGTCATTTTTACAATGTAATTATTTATGTACGGTGCAATGTGTATATGGACAAAAAAAGGAAAATGCACTTTGGCTTTTAAATTGTTCAGTACAATTTTTTTAAAGGAGAAAAAAAATTATACAGCAAAATTGGGAGTATTAGCCATTTTTTGGCTGTGTAGTTTTTTTTGTTGTTGTTTGTTTTTTGTAGTAATACCCAGACAAGAAGCTAATACCAATCACTCATTGATAATAAAGTATTTGCATTATAGGTTTTTATCCCTCAATCGTCTGTTTTCAAAACGAGGAATGCTGGAAGAGTATTTTAGGACATTAATGGAATATCTTTCTGGAAACCAACTGGGGGGCGGGATGGTTGCATGACTTTGTGGTTTTTTCCCTCCCCACTTATGAAACCAATCCTTGTTTTCCCTTGATGATTTAGTTTACCTAAAGTGGTAAAAATGAGAAAAGGTACTCTTTTTTAGTGCACATTTGTAGCTTGCAGAATCTTACAGCTTTCAGGGAAAGAGCTCTGTTAATTCTGCTTTTGATGAAAAAGAAAAAGAAAGAAAAACAAAGTTTTATGGCACCTTTAAGACAAAGATATTTATTTCAGTGTGAGTTTTCATGATTATAATTGGCTTCATTATGTATAACAGACATGACTCTTCAGACACAAATACTGTGTTTGAAGACTAGGGTTGTAGGCCCAGAAGTTCACACTGAAATAAACTTGTTCTGTTTTTATCTGTTTGTTTGTTTAAGTAGAATCAGACAGGATCAATACAGATGATCCCATCCCATACAGATGGGAAACCCTGACATCTGAAGTAGAATCATACAGGATCAATACAGATGATCCCGTCCCATACAGATGGGAAACCCTGACATCTGAGCGTTCAGCCTGGATGCAGGCGATGCATCACGGCCTCTCCCAATTTGAAGAGATCCTTGTCCAGCAGGCCGAGGCAAAGAGGCAGTCCTGGAAGCAGCAAAATCAGGGAGCTGGACAGGGGACAGATTGTCTTCTGTGTGGAAGGGATTGTCACTCTTGAATCGGCCTCCTCAGCCACACTAGACACTGTTCCAAGTCCTCCATACAGAGCACGTTACCCTAGTCTCTCAAGACTGAAGGATGGCCACACAGGATCAAGTCACTCTGTATTGTTCCACTAAAGCACATCTGTGCCACTTCAGCCATTTTTACCAATTCAGTTAGACATACATGGTGCTGAAAAGCCCCCCACACACACACACACACATGAATGACTGCAGCCAATCCAAGGCCTCTCCTTGACTTTGATGAATTGGGTGAAGGATGTGTTCTTAAAATGGCACCAAGCTAACCATTGTTTTGTGCCAGGGAAAAAAGCTGAATGCTGCACTCTGAATACATTGTTGAAATGAGCATATATTTTGGCACAGTATATAACAGATACCTTTGTTGATCGTGGGGATTGGGAATAAGCTCTTTTCAGCCACTGAGGCCTGCCCCCGACCTTCACCTTGTGAGACGGCCCCAGTCTCTATTGAGACACACATGGATTACTTTCAGAACCTTAAAGGGGGACAAAGTTGAACTGAAGCCCTAGTATTGAATGTCACATTCCCAGAAAACATACAGTCCTGGATGAAGCTGCTGTTGACAAGTTTTCTGCCTCATTATTGTGTGAAGAACATTTTGGAAGGCTACTGGTTTTGAATCTTACCAGCATCAAAAGCTGTGGAAATGTTGGTGTGGAAATGTTACAGCCTATGAATATTTTTTGTGGCCCACACAACTCTCCCCTTTTAAAATGCTGCTACTATCCTCGCCTTAATTTCTGCTTGTCTAGGCCTCTAGGAGATACGCAGTATGGTGTAGTGCAGTGGTCCCCAACCTTGGGCCTCCAGATGTTCTTGGACTTCAACTCCCAGAAATCCTGGCTAGCAAAAGTGGTGGTGAAGGCTTCTGGGAGTTGTAGTCGAAGAACATCTGGAGGCCCAAGGTTGGGGACCATTGGTGTAGTGGATAGAATGACAGACTAGACTAGACTCTGGAGACCAGGTTTCTAATCCCCCCTCAGCCATGGGAACTCTCTAGGGGGAGCGAACTAGTACAACGACTCCTTAAATATCTCACTTATTTTGAAAGCCCTCTAAGGGTTGCTATAAGCTGGTTCTAACTTGACAGCACAGAACAAGAAGAACAACAGGCCTCCAGGAGCAGCATTTTTGCCATGGCAATGCTGGATGAGTTCCTCTAAGTCCCATTTTACCACCACCTTCTCCAAACGAAAAACTCAAACCAATGCCCTGTCTGGCTACTTCTTATTTGCTTGTTACTTTTAATGACTGCAAATGCCTATTTTGGGGTATGATGCAGCCCTAGGGGAGTTGGAGACAGAAACAGAAACCTGTCCAGCACCCTGTGGAGATTCTGGGCTGTGGTAAATCTCAGATCTTCCCGTGTAGTGAGAAAAGAAGCTCATCACACAACTGTGATGGGGAAGTTGGTTTGACTGACTTAGGTGAGTCCTCTCTGTGAGTTTGTTCCATAAGTATATAGGCACAAAGTTGTGTTGGGGGGGGGCTGAGCTTTAGAGCAAGGAATGGGGAGCTAGGGAAGACTCCGTGCCCCCTTCCAATTACATCATCCTTTGGTAGTTCCCCAGCACAGGACGCTCCCCAATTCCTCTCTTAAGGCAGACTTTCTGGCAGTGAGAGTGTTAAACCAAAATATTGTGGTATTCTCCTTCCAATCAAGAATGTTGACTCCGGACAACTTCTCTGAGAGTTCATCTGGTCCTTTTCAATGGCCTGTCGCTAATGGTTGGTCCGTTTGAGTAAGGGTTGGCCTGGATGTCCTTTGGTGAACTCTTGATTCCAGGATCCTGTCAGGGCCTCATGTTATTTCCACAGAAATCTTTGCACCTTCTTGTATCTGAGCCACTTTACATACACACCCAAAGCACCCACAGAGTGCAGCACTCATTTTAAAAGAAAGAACATTTGATAGACACAACAATGAAATAACAAGAAAAGAATGGTAGATCCAAGCTCTCTCTTGTTTTATACCCTGTGAACTGATCTTTTCACTCTGGAAGTGCCGCTGGATTACTTCTGATGCAAACAAAGAAAAAGTGGATCATAGGCTGATGCTGTGCCCGCAGCATGAAGCAGTTGCTGAAAAGGCTGCTCCTACTCTGAAAAGCACAGCTGGATGGGGAAGGCAGGTCACACATGCCACCACCGATGAAGGGAAGGAATAGTTCTGCTCTCTGCTGTGTTCCCCCGTCTGCACTAGGTCTAGTGACCTGTTTTGAGTGCAACATTTCTAGAACAACTGTGACAAACTGAAGGATTACTGAGATCATGATGGGATCTGGCAACCAAACCTCAAGGGGAACTGTTTGAAAGAGCTGGGGCGGGTACATTTAATTTGCAGAAGACTGAAAAAAGAGAGACGCGATCGTTCTCTTTAGATGTCGGTGGAAGATGGAGCCCTTGCTCCAAGAGGCAGGGCTAGAAATAATGGGTGGAAAGGCAAGAAAATTTCGAAAAGGATCACTTAGTGGTATGTTTCAAATTTAGATGAACCCAGAACATAATTAGGCTGATTTGGACTGATTCAGGAGCTGCCTGGATAAAAATGAGGCTCCCCCAAAATGGAACAAATCCAGCTATTTCAAACTAGTGAAAAGGTTTTAACTGTTTGAATTCTGAGGCAGACAGAAATGCAGATGTTGTGTTTCTGAAACCAGATTTCTCTAGGCTCTCTGAATAAATAAGGAAAGCCGCAGGATGAGGAGAGGGGATGGGGAAGATTTGACTTATTGCTTAGTCTTCTAATCACAGTCAGTGAGTTAAATTGCAACCCCAATACTGTACTTTGAAGAAAGAGCACTGAAGAATTGTATCACAGGACGGTTGCAGTTTTCAGTTTTATTTGCTCGTTCTCTCCCTCAAGGACAGGAGTTTTCAAAGGGCCGATGTGCCATCTGTAGGACCTGGGAGGTTGTAGCACCCAGGATCCTCACACTCGTTTGATCCTGCCACTGTGTATGCTGCACCTGTCACTTTCTGTGATGGTTGGTGTCAATGGAGCAGAAAGCAAAAGGTCTTAACTGTGATTCATCCTCAAATCCCAAACATCTATATGCTCCAGCCCATTTCTGCTAACTTTTTTGTACATTGATAGAGGGAGATAGAGAGGAGTACCGTAAAATGGGGCTTTTGGGGTACCCAAATTGTGTATATACCCTATCCTACCTGAGCCTTTATGTCCATCAAACCTGAGGCATGGGCCTAGTAGAGGCTGTGGGGCAATAAACACATAAACCGAGCTTTTTGGGTTAGTTTTCTTTTATCCCTTCAGAGAGATGAAAGCTCTCAATGCTTTGCCTCCTTCACGGGTTCCTTTTTTTTCACAGCAATCACTTCCCCATCCAGTGCATTCCAGACTCAGTGGGTACCAGACTCTGGATTCCCCATATCATTGATTGGAGAATCATAGAAAAGTGAAGTTGGAAGGGGCCCACAAGGTCATCAAGTCCAACCCCCTGCTCAATGCAGGAATACCATCAAAGGATATCTGCCAGGTGATTATCTAAGTTTTTCTTGAATGCTTCCAGTGTTGGAGAACTCACCAACTCCTGAGGTCACTGGTTCCACTGTGGTACTGCTCTAAAAGGACGTTTTTCCTGATATTCAGTTGAAATCCGGCTTTCTGTAACTTGAGCCCATTGTTGCTTAACTTGCACTTCAGGATGATCGAGAACAGATCCTGCCCCTCCTCTGTATGACAGCCTTTCAAATATTTGAAAAGTGCTATCATATCACCCTGGCTGATATTTAGCTACAATAATTCCAAGATCCTTCTCGCTCGTAGTTTTGCTGAGCCAGGTATCCCCCATTTTGTAACTGTGTGTTTGGTTTCTTTTTCTGAGGTGCAGGGCTTTGCACTTATCCCTGTTGAATTTCATTCTGTTGCTTTTGGCCCATCCTATCAAGGTCATTTTGAATTTTGTTTCTGTCTTCTAGGGTATTAGATATTCTGCCCAATTTTGTATCATCTGCAGATTTGCAAATCCCTCATCCAAGTCATTAAGAAAAATATTAAAGAGCACTGGGCCCAGGACTGAGCCTTGGGGTACCCCACTTGTTACCTCTTCCCAATTAGAGAAGGGCCCGTTAATCATCACCCTCTGAGTTAGATTCTGTAGCCAATTGTGTATCTACTTGGCACTTGATCTATCCAGCCCACACCTAGTTAGCTTCCTAATCAGG